TCAGACTAAAGATTACTTACAGGAATAAAAATACTCCTATATGAAGAAAAGCATCATTGGACAATATATAAACAAGTCTGGACAAATGGCTAATCTTCCGTCATAGCTTTGGAAGTAAAGCATTGGCAAGAAACTAAAGGAAAACTCTTCAAACACTAAATGCCCAAACTAGAGACTCTCACACATACTTAGAAAAAAAAAAGTTTGTTTATTAATGCTACTTCATTTTACTACATCATTTCTCCTTGATAAATGCAGCCTCATTATGACATATGGTTTTCTCATGTGAAATTCCAACGCAGACTTGATTCAAAGCAGAATACGCTCAGCCCTTGAAGTTCTGCTCATACACAGCTCTTTAAGTCAAATCATGTAAAACCTTCAGCCTTTTGATGACTTGCACCTGTCTTACAATATCTTTTAAGAATCCCTGGCTACACAGAAATTGCTTCCCCCCCATCTAAAAATCTCTTCTGCAGCACAGTTTTACTTCAAGTTTGCCAAAAACACACCAACAGGAAGTATGGCATAAAGAAATCTAATCCAATCACTGAGCAGACAACTGTGTAATGCAGTCGAATAAAATGTACTCATCCAAATCAGTCACATCATGTTTTCTCCAAACTAGTAAACAGCTGCAGACACAGTCTGTTTCCTATCAAACGTTCCGTGTATAACAAAACTATACCTTGTATCTCTGACGGTTCACTAGTAATTTTTCAAAACCATGACTTTCAAAGCATACGACAACTATGTTTTACTGAAGAACTCAGACTGCTCAAGCCACAAGTTGATAGACCCGTCCAGAAACTCTAGTGTAGATGCCAAAAGTCTGCTGAATGTCAGTATTTGCCAGCATTTTTATTATTATGAATACAAGTGCAGATCAACTTCTTCAAAGAAGAAACACACTTCAAGCGTGACAGAGAAGGAAAAGCTCTCAACTCCTTCTATCACAGCACAAGAGCAGAGAAAATAACTCCTTTACCGCTGTCTGGAAATGGTATCCCAAAGGAGTAGTCTTAGATGTGTTTAAAAGGTGGAGAAGCTTAAAATATAAAGACACATCTTACATTCAGGTCTGTGGCATCAACAGTACTAAAATAACTAGCAACTTCGAAAAGCTCGTAAAATTTTGACTGCCACAAGCATGAAAACTACCCTTAGTGAGGTTGCTGAAGTACAAAACTCCTTCTCATAACTTTTTGTGACTTATTTTCAATTCATTCACAAGAAAATATCCTTGCATGCATAAGGCAATACAGAAGAAGCCAGCTGGACCAAGACATGTTTTCAAATCTCTGAACAGCATCAAACTATTTTGAGCTTAAATCGGATATTTACTGTTTTTTGCTTGACTACATAAATGAATTCCTAGCCCTTTAAAATTTAACTGACTCCTAAACATGCCGATTTTACACTAATGTGACTGTTATAAACTAAAATTAAGTGCATACTTTCTCTAACCCAGAGTAACAACAGACAGAATAATAAATTGGGAATTAAACAGGAAACAATGACCCAGACACTAATCTCTCACACAGAGGACAATGGAGACTGGTCTAGTAAAAAATGGGATATCAGTGACTGAAGTTTTATCCTACCCTATCCTATCCTAAAACTCTTCTCCATGGCTGTAGCCTGAGTTCCCTGTGGCACAGAACTCCAAAAGAGTTTCCCTGCTGTTATTGTGATGCCCTGTGGAAGCACAGTAAAAGAGATTTGGAGTTAATGTCACTTTTAGAAGCATTAACTGCAGTTATGATGTCCATATGGCATAAAACACAGAAAACACTCAAGAACCGAGGGTTCCTTCTCTGCATCTGGTTACCTATGGTAAGAATTGCAAAGAGCCCATGCATTTCATCCATTTGAGAGTTCTTGAAATTTACCTGATAAAGAGTTCTAACTGCAGCACATACTGCTTCAAGGATCCCAAATATGCATTGCTTAAAAGAGAAAATAATCTGCCCATAAATTACCAAACACTTTCATTACCCTTTGAAAGTGAAGTGGAATATGTTAACTTTGACACACTGTCTTTGTAATTACTGGAGACTGCTGTCACAGTATTGTTAGGTAATGAATGAATTCTTGAATATCGTAAATAATCATAAATCCAAGTTCTAGAAAAATTTTGGTGGTATGCTTAGTAAAATTATTTGCTGTGCTGTGACACAACAGATAAGGTAAATGGTTAGAGCTCTGATTTCCAGTATTCAGCCCCTATGGGCAACTGATTCATTAGAATTAGAAAACTTGGTGAGACTCAGGTTAATAGAACAAGTAACTTCCTTGGATTTCTTTTTTCTAAATATAATTCATATATTAAGGAATGTGTGCTATGCTTGATGCATGACTTCAGGAAAGATTAACTGCAAATAACTAGCAAACAGATGTATGGCCTGTTTTCCAGTATGTATGGAAAGACAGACAGTCCATAATGTAATGTCTTGAATTTCAGCACTAATATAATAGAAGGTTTCCTGCTGACTTTACATCAGCTTGTGGTACAGGTGCAAAGGACTTAGGTTACTGGCAAGCATAAGGAAAATTAATCTAGAAACCAGAAGAGCAGCTTCTCACATTCCAGAAACAGTTTATAAAATTAATTGCAATAGCATACACATCAACTCCTGATGTGTAACCAGCTATGCTATCATTGACCAATACAATCAGAATACATGGAAAAAGGCAAATATTTCCCTCCAAAGGTAATTGATACAGACAGATCATATAACCAGTACTGGGAATTGGCACATCCAAGTTATTCCTGGAAATTAATGGGTCTCACATAAGAACAAAAATGCCTGTTTTTATTAAAAAAAAAAAAAAAGAGGAAAAACATCAGTCTTGCGAGAAGCTTCATCTGAAATGAAAATAATTTATCTTTTAGCTACTACTGCAAAAGCTGTAATTTACAGTAGATGAATGACTAATGTCTCTTAAAGCTATGAATATTCATACAGGCTATATTTTAGCCCTATGCTTTAGGTGTTACAGCTTCCTGAAGAAATCACAATTGGCTCATTAAAAAGAAAAATCAGATACCAGAACAACTTATTTTAGTAAAAACTTTCACAAGCCAAGAGGAAAAAATAAAGCCGAGCTTTAGGCATCTACTGTCAACAAAGCCACAGCCCAAATAGCTGAGGAAACTGTCACAAACTAAGTAACTTCTTTTAGCACCTAAAAAACCCCAAAACCGCATACCCTAGCAAACTAGCTAGAAAGGTTTCAAAAATCTTTCTGGATGACACAAGACACATCCTAGTACAGAGGGAAATAATGGATATGCATATAACCACAACTGTTATTTGAGAAAATTTTGTTTATAGAATTACAGATAATATTTTTTTCCCCCTCGGAAAGGTTATCTTGCCCCTTAAAATACTAAAGCTGCAGGACTAAATCACAACAGACGTTGTCAAGAGTATCTACATAAGTATACTATATCAAGCAATTCAAAGCAAATTAAAACAGCTCCATGCATGCTTTCTCAAAACAGTCAAGAGGCAGCAGGCAGCCTGGGTTGCTTCTCATCTGACACCAGGATACACACGTTCAAAGAACAGTGTGAGAACTGAGTGAAAAAGGAAAGCAAAGAGCTTCTGAGGCTTTAACTATTTCTGGAACTTTCTATAACAGTAACCTCATGCAAAACTGTGTGAAGGGCTGTAATCTATACCACACATGAAAAGCCCTTTGCACCTGAATACCTTTCTACCTTAAGGAAAAATGGAAGCCGTACTTGCCTAACATTCCTCTTCAACACATACCATCATACAAGCTTAAGTTCACAAAAAGCTAACAAGCAGGTATGGGCCATTTCACATTTAGATTTACCTCTGCAAGACAACACTGTTAGCATCCTATTGAGGAGTTGCAAGGCTCAAAAGGCTACAGATCCAGTATTACTCCTTTTATACAAATCGAACTTGGGATGAGTCACATGAAATATATCTGTATAGTTCCTGATCAAACACAGCCCACCTGAGATGCCCAATGTTAACTGGGAAGACCCTGGGAAGACGCATAAAAACCCGCTATTTTACTGAGTAATCATCATCTCAATGCCTTCATGAACATCACGAGAGATGAAATCTAATGTTTGCAATAAACTTTTCAGAAACTAGAATAAAGAGACTTTGGATTTCTCTAAATGTGCTTTGTAGTTATATATTTGTGTCCTCTGGAAATAACCAGTTAGCCTATGATGTCTTGCTATTCCAAACTGAAATCATATTACTCTTCTTCCACTCTTTTCATTTTCTGCATTACATAATCTTTAGGACAAGATGCCACTTCTTTGCTCCTAAGATACTACTGACAGACTTAAAACTGCAGTTAACACTTTTAGCAACAAGTCTAATGGGAATTTTGTTTGTTTGAGTCTTTAAAGATACAGCTCAACAGTTCCATACATCCCAGTATGAAAGCAAATATTCTTGACATCCGGCCTTTGGACCTTGTTTTGACCAAAGCCTTGCTGAACTGACTGTATTGACTCAAATGTAAATCACTGACTAGCACCCTGGCATATGTATCTGACAGCCTGTCCACTTTCTAGTTAATAAATAAAATACATTTTTGCGTATGAAAAACACACACAAATTCTGTGCGTTCTAGTGAAAAGTTGTATTTCAGCATCTGGCAGGCGTACAGTCTTCAAATTAATTCTTAGGAAGATATTTATCCAGTCATAGGTCTGATTTTATTTTAAAGAAAACCCAAAACTTGTATTACAAGACAGACAGCATGAGTTACAAAAGTTTCAGTTTTAAGCAAGTTCCCCATAATCCTTCTGGCTTTTAGAATTGTATGGAAATAAGTACTCTCTCTTACAGGCATGTGTTTTGTCTGAAAAACAGTGTCTGTAGGTTAAACATTAACAGAGTAAAATTTATATAAACCAGTAAAAGTTAGACAAAAGTCTGGGATTTTGCCATAGATGACGTGAAATTATGGTGAATGGATCTGAGTTTAGATTGATACCTTACCTGACTGGCTTTCCTTCTCGTAGCAAATCTTCCAGACTCTCTTCACAGTGCTCAGCAGCCACCACCAGTCTCTCTAATTGAAAAAAAGTATAAGAGGAGTAGAATCCAAAGAAGACAGTGGGAGTACAGACTTCTCAGTCTACCTATTTGGCAGATATAAAATGTTTCATGTGTTGCAGGGAAAATTACACATAATTAAATGTCGAAGATGTACAACTTCTGGATATCACCACCATTTTCATTCATGGGATACAGAAGATTATCTTTCCTCCTTCCTCATGCAAAGCACTGTCAATCCATCTATCCAGTAACCCCCTAACAAATGCTGAATCCCCCAACCAATGTCAATCAAATCTGACTTAAGATTTGAGGTCTCGAAGAAGATAAACATCTACATATTTGCAGGAACCTGTGAATGGGTTGTTGAGAGATAGACTCAAAGTAACATCAGCTTTGAGAAAAGGGGCTTGGAGTGAGCACAGGAGTTTTAGTCCTGATGAACCAACTAGCACATTACTAGCTCTAGTATCTTTTACCCAACAAATAGTGATAGGACTGGCAGGGATCCCACATGTTCCATAGATTGATGGGCTGTCTCTGAATACTGACATTTACAAGAGAAATAACAATAAATTACTATGCATAGGGTTGACGAAAACTTTGTCAGTGTCAGAATGATGAAATTTGCACAAAATCTGCCACATTATCTGAAAGTGATTAACTGCTGCTTAGCCACTGGAAAGAAAATGGTCTCCTGACTTCAGGGTTAGACATTTTATTTGCCACCCTTCAAGTTACTTCAATTATGAGAAGATCGTTTCTCCTTCATATTTATACACACTCAAACTTTCATGTCATTGACTCTTCACTGCCAAAAAGGCTGTGTTTTCCTATTTAACTGTATCTTTTACTTATAAAATGTTAGCTAATGTTTCTTAACCTTTCATCCCAAAGAATGTCGTAAGAAAATCCCAGTTCCTGTTTCAAAAGGTACTAGAAAAAACAAGATGAAAATGAATAAACTTTCTAGATCTCCTGATGGCAGAAAATGAAAAATATGCAAGTTTGAGAGCAAATAAAAACACAAAGAACCCCCACCCCCCAGAATACTTCCATGTTTGGAGTCAGCAATATCCTAAAGATTTGAAACATCCTCTCATACTACATCCTAAAAGGGAAAAAATTACTTTCTCTACTTTATGAGACCCTGTAGCTAATCAAATACATACAATCCAGTTTCATGTGGGAACATTGCGATTTAAAAGTTAAAGATGGCAACCACTTAAATTGTCACAGGTGTTCCAGCCTTTTTGTGACAATTGCTGTATTCCTGCTGAGCTTGCAACAGAATAAAATCATCTGGAGTAGAAAAAAAAACCCAAACAACTAAAGCCTATTTGAGTTAACTATAAGTGTGATAACAGTTACTAAGGAAAAAAAAAAACAAAAACGTACAGAATGAAGTAATTGCTAGGGGGAGAGATCTTAAAGAGCTAGAACAGAAAATAAATAAATAACGGAAGCTTGCAGCCAAGACACAAAATAACTGCAACAGCAAGATCAGCTGCAATGTACAAGAAAAGTAACTATGACATGAAAATGTTCACAATATTAGAACGTGGGTGTAGGAGGTCAGTGTCAAAAATACATGTATTTCAACATCCTACACAAAAAACGTGGCACAGCAGCTGAATATAAGAATTTTAGTGAGGTATAAAAAGAAGAAAGTTCTTGGCTTTTATCACTTAGCATATCATAGAACAAAAGAGGACGGACAATTAATCCCTGCTTTGATTCTGTATAGAAGAAACAAAAGCACCAGTACCACCAGTCACAGCAAAGGTATACAGTCATTTTGAGGCTAAAAGCCAGCCACTTTCTGGTGCTATAAAGGCAATATACTGCTAGGTCACCTTTAGATATGCTATCACAAAAACATCACTGTAACCATACATAAAATTTCCTTACTAAACCGATACTCACCATGTTTGCCTCTGGTAATGTCAACATACTGGCAAAGTCTGGGATGGGTGATTGTTTTAAGGATTTGAAATCTCCCCAGAATTTTGATGGAGTTAGGTGTCAGAGGAAGGCCATTACTTCCACAAACATCATGTGGCAGAGCAGAGGCAAAAAAGGTGGAGGCACCCATCTCAGTGTCTTTTAAAGGAAACATCTTTTTCGCACAGTCTTAAGCCCTTCGGAGCAATTTGCGTTCCTTAAAAAGAGAACAGAGAGTAAAGATTTATCTGCAAAATAGACTTGTGACTGAGCTTACTAGCTGCTTACTAAGTAACACAATTTAAAAGGCTTGGGGAAATGAGACTTTTTGCATAATAAAAACAGCAATAACAATACAATGCTGCTGCATCATAAGCACTACATTTGAAGATCAAGAAACAGTGATAGTTTTAAGAACAGATCTAAGAACCAAATAAAACTATTTTAAAAGCAGATAAAAGTTTTCATACAGTCTTCAGGTGACTACTGTAATACAATAGGCTATTGATTAAAAAGCAGTAAAGACATGAAACAAACTCTTTTAAAATACCTTGTTTGCAGCAGAAAATTCCCATAAAAAACCTAAAAAGTTTTTTCTGTGACTCTTGAATGACCCCATGACAAGTTGCACACAGATGCCCAGATACGAAACATATTTACCAAGTTTATGAAAATGTAAATTATGGAATGTACCCTCTGCTTTAACTATTACAGTCCAATTTAAAATACAAAGCAAATATAAGACTCTCATCTGTATTTTTCCCTCCGAATACAAACATGAGATATACCCATTTAAATGCTAATATACATTATCACTTTAAATATAAATGCACAGTATTAAGCAATCAAACTTAAAGGAAGAAAATCTGAAACAGCATTGAGCATTGGAGTTTTCTAGTAGTATTTTTTGTATTAAAGGTCTCATTTGTAAAGATACAATGCTTTCATATCTCATGAATATTTAATATCTTCTGGAAAGGATTTATTTTAGGATGCCAACAATGCAATTTAGAGTTAGAATGTTCCATTGGAAAGACATATATTGGACTGAATGCAAGCACAAAGACTTACTGGCATGCAGCAAGTTCCAACTGGAAAACTTTAATTATTTGTATTAAGACTCATATTCTTATAAAAACATCATGTCTGCCAAATGAACTACCTGGCTTCAGAAAGAAAATATATATTAATCAGGAAAAAAAAAATCTCGATTTAAAGAATGAATTATAATCTTGCTTGGCACAACAGTTCTCAAATAATTGCTCTAAAATAAAAGAATGTTAATGTGATCACAGTTGAGGAGAGGAAGAGTAAAATTATGCCAAACAGTGAGATGCATTATGTCTCTGAAAAGTAAAATATGTAGGGTGCAATATTTACTCAGAGAAGAAATGTTTTCATTTTTACTGCAGAAAAATAATCTTCTAGATAATACTTCTCTAATACACTGCATCTGCATTCAGTGGACATTTAGAAAGGAATTTTTATTCAAAATGTTAAATATCAAGTCAATAACTATTCTATTAAACTTTTCTTGTACTGTTGAGCACTTGGCCTACAATAATGAATTAGACCACCTGCAATGCTTTCAACTAGACAACCACAGATTTATCATTTACTTCCTTTGGTTAGGAAGCACACAGACAAAAAGGAAGACATGATATAAGCAAACAATATATCCTGTCAGCCACCTAAAGGAACCAATAAAGAATTTTAATATATATGCATTAAAACAAGTTCTCTTAGTATAGTGTTCATTTTGTGCAATCTGCTAAAGCAATGAAAAAAACCCCTCTCTGATGATGGAGAACAGCTAGTTCTGTCAATACCCACCTTCACAACTTAACTCTGATCTCTGTCCTTAACTCTCAACTTCTACAAATCCCAGGGGCTGACTTCAAAAATAAACCAAGTAATAAAAAAAAAAACCACCAAACTTAATCCCTCCAACACCTTTAAAAAAGGACATATATTACAGCTAAAGTGAAAGGCGTTGTTTTAATGAAATTATTTCAGTCTAGTCATTTATCCAGTACCTTACTGACATTTCTAAGTTCAAACAGAAGTGTTACACGTATTTTAAAACTTCATCTGAAAAAAAGCTCATCTAACTATTTTTAAATCGTTTTTTTTCTTTTTTTTTCCTTTTTTTAATCCACATCAAAGTCTGGCACAACTATAAACAGACAGAATGCTGCACATTCTCCTCATGTTCAAGGCATGCAATTTCACACCTTAAAGTCACCTTTTCTATACAGAAAAGATACATATTGCATTAATTTTATGATTTGGAGGAATGAATTATGGCCTGTAGAACTTCCTTATTACTTTGGAATAAAAAGAGGAAGAGAAACGTTTGTTATTTTAAACTGACACCAGAAACAGATAAGGTAAATTCAATTTTGGGACTGAATACTGAAAATTCAATTCTGATAATCTGGAACAGTGAGGATGGAAGAGCAAACAAAAACTCGTCTTATTACTGTCAACTAAAATTACTGAGCTGTTGTTTCCAAAGTACCATTTATTCCATATATGTCTATCACATCTGCAAAATAGGTCTGACAAAGATCAGAAGTCCAGAAGTGGCCTGTTTTGCATCCAACCTCTCAATGATCTTCTCTAGCCCATTGCCTCCATCCAAATCTCCCTTAGCAACCTTTACAGTACACAAAGCCACTAACCAACATTCTCAACAAAATCCACCATAAGCAGAAGAACTTTACAAATTCCTAGTTAACATTCAGATTAGCTCTACTTCAGCAATCTCCCACTTGATAGCTTTTCCATGCCCAGCACTGAAAAACAAAATACAAAAACCTGTCACCTACAGAGCAATTTATTTGCTTCTCTGAATACCTACTCCTCTCAAAGAACAAATATTTTTTCTTCAGAATTCAGCATTTTATAGCCATCATTTACAACTTTTTCACTGCCCTGCGTTAAGGCAGTAGAGTCACTGGGCACTAAGAACTTTGCCATTAAAAAAACCCAAAACATAAATTTGGCTCTCAGAAGCAAACATTGCACATACCAACCTGTATGAATCCATTCTGTGAAACACATCTGTGGTTTATAAAGGATCCACATGCAGAAATAAAGACAACTAGCCATGTGCTAATACCTGATAGCCATTTTAAATGGCTAGTTATTTAAATGCCTCCTGAGTATCCAGGTGTAAATGTCCCTTGCCTAATGAAGGCAATTTTTCAGAATTAAAACATAATTATAATCAGTACTGCTATTGAATTATTTTTAAAGCAATTAAGAACAATTTCAGGAGAGCAGGTGGCCTGAACATCCTATGCTTACCCTGGTTTTCATTAAATCACAGTATTTTCAACAAAGTGAGATATTTTATATGAAGAAATTCTTTCACAAAATATCTTTTCTTCTTCTTCTTCAAATATTCCTGTTGCAGCAAGAGTAACTACTAATTTGACAAAGTAACTGAAATAAAAGGTGCAATTTTAGCTACAGTGTTGCTACTTCAGAAGAACACAAAACTCTGTGATTTGCCTCTCACTGTGCAGCATCACTTAACTATTCATAAAGTTTATTAAAATGCAGAAAAGAAATTGAAAAGATGAATTCAGATTCCTGTGGAATGGAGCATAGAAAGTAAGTATTTGTTAGGACAACCACAAACAGTGAGTTGGGACATACTCACTTCATAATAAAAAGTATTAATTTATCAGCTTAATTTTTGCAGGGGGTGACGGAACTCTGGGTTAAATTTAGTTTACCTCACAAATCTTTTTTTCATCTGCAGTATAAACACCTACTACAAACACCATAAGGTTGCATAAAAATCTAAATGTAATCAGAATTGTGTTTAATCAAATGTTTTGTCCTGTGGCAAAACATCAAAATGTTTTCTTTTACAAAATTTTCTAATTTTTCTAACATTCATTGAAGTAAGAGGTACTCTACCTATAGAAAAAGAATAACTAGGGAGTCATGGGCAGGTAATTACAGGCTATATGCACGTCAGGCATACTTTAAAAACAAGTAAACAAATTGTTGTTTTGTCCAAACTAATACATTCAGTGCAGGAAAGAAACACTTCAGATCACAGTTATACAAATTTTGTAATAGATAAATAACTATGCCAGAATTTTCATTATAATGCTATTACTTGAGATCAACAGAAAATGAAAACCAGATTTTGAAAAGGTTCCAATGTCATTATTTTGTCTTCAATACACAAATTTCAAAAGAAAAAAACACAAAACGCATAGAAGTATCACAGTGGCTTTGGCATATGTGGCTAACAAATATTTGAGGAGTTATTTCATGAAAATACTAAATGGTAATTCCTTTCCCTACTGTTGTGGGGATAATAAAGCAGCACTTAAGTGAAATGTAAGACAACAGCAAAGATTAAAAAACACTCTATCTCACTAGTATTTGGAGAATTTTGTGACAAGTACATTAAAACATCCTTATCCCATACAGGTGCTTGCATAAGTAGAGTTCCTGGTGTTGTTTGCAGCATTTACAACATTACTGCATAGAATAAAGTGCTGCTGCTCTGAAAGCCAGGCCTAAGGGTTAGCGAAACTTACAGACACCTCAAGTTTTGCATCTGCAGCTAGGACGAAGAAATTATAGCATGAAGAAATTATAGGCTAATGTGGATAGATTCTAATAGTCTAATTGACTCTCTGTTTTATAAACCTATTCTTTCTTTTAGTTGTTTATCAGTGTCTTGGTTACTGCCAGCCTGCCTGTTCCGCTACATCGGTGTCGTTATACACATAAAGGTGTCATGTTAGCACTTGATACTGCACACATTATCCACGGCTGTTCAGGAATTCAGTGGAAGTCAGATTTAACCAGGCTGCTGAAGGACTGCTGAAAGTGCCGGTAACCCCGAGCCGCTCCAGCAACCCCCAACGCCCTACGGAAACGCGAGCAGAGCCCCCCGCGCCCTCAGGCGCTACACCCACGTCACTTCACAGCTCGAAAAGGCGCGACCCGGCGGCGCCGCCTTTCCCTCCGGCCCAGCACGCCTCACGGCGCTGCAAGGCAGCGCTCGCCCCGCGCCCCCGCCCCACACACCACTCCCTCGGCGCCTCTATCTCCCAGCGACCACGGGCGAGGGCTGCCGCCCTAAGCACAGCCAGGTAGGAGAAAGGAAGGAGAGAGGAGAAGAGGGAAAGGGAGGAGGGCCGGGACCTAGACAAGGAGGTACCTCCCCGAGCGCCGCCGCTCCTGCCGCGCGCCCCTCCCCTGAGCGCGGCAGCACCGCCCGCTCTGCTCCGTGGCGTCACTCCTCGCAGACAGAGCCAGAAGGACCCCGGCATAGGAGTGTCTTCTGCGGTGCCTGACCTTTCTCCTTTTCGGGCCTTTTAAAAAAGAAGAGTTTTATAGTTCCCCTAACGCCACTTGTGTGTGTGTGCTCTATCGGTACTCTGACAACGACATGTTGAGCATCCTGGCCGTAAAAGCAATGCTTGCTGCTGGTACTGAAGCTTTCCTAGGCGCTTTCTTTATAAGCTTCAGGCGCTCACGCTGGCAGTCTAGGGAAAGGGGGTCCTTTTTTATCCTCAGCGGGTGGAGGTGTGTGGCGGCTGCTCGGTTCATGTGAGTGCGTCCCGGTGGGGCCCGACACGGCGGGGCGGTGGCTGTGCCCCCTCAGCCTGCTTCTAGAGCGCCTGTGGGTGGCTTGGTTCCGACGCCCCTCGCTGCTGGGGGCTTGCGTCGTGGCGGTCTGCCCTGGGGCCCTCCCTCGGGTCTGGCCGAGCTCTCTGAGGAGCCGGAGAGGGCTCTGTTTGCTTCGGAGGCAACTGAGGGCGGGATGTCCCTGCGGGCTGTGTGCTGCGGCGGTGGTTGAGGGAGGCTGCTGCTATCCCTCTGAGGGCAATTCTGCAGCGGGGAAGTAGGCTGAGGGGTTTTAAAATAGAGGAAACCGTGTTTGTTGTTGTTTAATTTGTATATGGGATTTAATCACGGGGCGTAGTGTGCATTGTAGCTGTAGGGTGGCACTACAGATACAGATACCACACTTTGCGGGGAAGAAGCATACACTTGAAGTGGTTCTTCTGAAATTAGTTGAGTTCCTTTATTTAGCCCATCGACTGGAAGCGGCATAGTGTGTTGGGCGTTGAAGAAAATGCTGTAATAGCCTGGGAAGTATGTGTGTACGGACTTGAGCTTTGCATAGGGCAGGCTGTTACTTACTGAAAAACAGGTGCTTTTTCTGTTTTGGTAAATGGTATATGTGTTTGTTATGCTTTTGCATAGACTTCAGTGAGTGAAAACCAGTTTTAGCTAAGTATTTGCTCATTTCTCAGTAGAGATACTTGCAAGATTTAATATGCAGGACATTCTGTACAGGGATGCATGGATTGGATAATCCTTGTTAGGTTATGTTACAAGTCCAGAGCTAAGCAGCATATGGCAATGTAACTGAAGTACTATATATCTTAATAAGCGGTTTTGTGTTGGGTTTAGCAGCTAGCAAAATGAAGAAAATACTACTACAAAATATCCATGCGTTTCCTGATCTTTCTGTTTCTTTAACTCAGATTTTATTTTATTATTTTTTTTAATACAGTTATTACTTTTCACGGGTAGTTTTGCAATTCGGGATGCTTACGTGAAATTTGTAGTAAGGTGAGGCAATGGTCATTAAATATAGCATCCCATTTTAGTATGTCTCTTACGTATTTAGTATGTCTCTTTTAGTATTGTTCTCTTACGATATTATTCTCAAGTTATGTTTAAATAATAATATGTTATTTGGCAGACCTCTGCAAAAGTAAACCTAACATCTGTAAAAATAAAACTGAAGTCCTGAAACAGAATTTTTAATACTGAATATTACTGAAAGAGATAAGACTTTAGAAATAATTAAAAGATAGAACATTGACATTTTATCAAATAGTCAGTAGAGTGGGGGTTTTCATCCTTCTGATTTTGGAGATGTTCTCTGAAATTTCTCCTAAATGTATTTTACTGAAGTCTGTTTAATACAGTACTGTTATTTCAATTACATGTGTTATCCAAGAAGACTAGCAATGAAGTTAACTTCCCGGAGGAAGCAAGCAACCCTCCGGGACCTTGCATGCTTTGCAAAATCCTTTAATTCATGGCTTTTCTTTAAAGTTATTCCTGCAAATCACTCAAGGGATTCTAGTCTACTACAGTCCTTGACTTTCTACTGACCTGGAAGTTTCACAATACTGTACTTTCATGAAAAGGGAACTATAAAATGTCATGTGAGTAATGCTCCGTCAGGCAGAGCTTATTGGTGGCATTCCTCCCTGCTTTTGTTCTTCCTAAAGTTGCCTGCTTAATAACCTTGATAAAATCATGTTTTTGAAAAACAGTCATAATTTAGAGAATGTTGAAATATATATATATTTACTGTAATGTTTATCACTGAAATTTCACGTAATGTGCTTGACACACTGAATTCCTAATTCAGATGAAACATCACAATAATTTGATCAGTGTTTCCAAATTCTCTCAGCCTTTTGTTGTTTTTCTTCCATAAGCTCCATAATGTGTTGTGTGGTGGTGTTTCTTAAATTAGGACTAAAGTAGAAAGTAAAAAACTTTGCTTTTATTTTAATCTGTAATATATTGAGATACAGTGCACTCAGTTGGCGTGAAGCTTTAAAAACAGTTTCTGGAAATACTGTAAAAATACCTCAAAGTACTTCTATACACAGCACACTTAATACTATAGAACTCTGCTAGGTTGTATTATAAGATAGTAAGTCATAACATAAGGTAATAATCAGCTGTAGTGATTTGTGGGCTTGCTTTCTGAGTCAACAGACCACTTCTGAAATTGTTGCTTTGTGTAAATTTACTAACTACCAGTAGAATAAAATTAGAAAAGTGCTGGTCTCTCAGCTTCCCTCCCACCAACATGAAAGTAGAATAAATAATTTTATGTCTGTCATGTTCATTTCTGAAAAAGCCTGAAGCAGCAGCAGCAGAGGTAGCTTGTACATTCTGGAGGACAAGAACTCAAATAATGGCATCAGAATGAAGAGTGGATCTTGAATTGCAAGAAAAAAAATGTATTGAGATGCAAAATAGGAGATAAGTGTTATTCATGACCTCTCTAGACCAAGAATGAAAAGAAAAAATTGAGCTCTCAGGTGTGTATAAATCCTATGTCTCTATAATAAAAATAATGGAAGGCAGTTGTCAGCAGAAGATGATCAAGTGTGCAGGAAGACAAATCTGCTATCTACCATAACACTTTTGAACTTTTCTGATTATGTTTGGTTGCTGTGTGTTGAAGCTCCATGTGAATGAATTCACATTTGTCTCTTCAAAGGAAATGTTTCCTAAAACTTAAAGAATGTCAAATGCTAGACAACACAAGTAAACTGAAGGGTCAGCATAGAAGGTGGCTGCTAGGAACATCAGATGTGAGTAAAGTAAATAGCATCTCTTGTTTCTTGTATAGTGATACTAATTATATGATGTCAGTCCAGCAGAGACCCCTGGAAACCCCTGTTTATTTTCCTACTAAACAGTTACCTGTATGGTTCTTATTATCATCACCCAGAAATATTTCCCATGTTAGATATCCTGGCATCCTGGTGGTGAGGAAGAAATTGATATTTAGTTTTCATTTCCATGGTTACATTAGTGTTAAACAGTAGGGGGGAAATATTTCCATGGTTATGTTAGTATTAAACAGTGTTGGAGGGAAGTCTCATATGGCTTTTATCCCCCAGTGTGGTGGAAGCCATCCTTACTCATAATTTAATAGGGTTTCAAAAAGATTTGGATACTTCTCAAAGCATTTTTCTGCTTTCATTGTTTGGGTTTTGGTTTGGTTTGGTTTTTTTTGTTGGGTTTGTTTGTTTGTTTTGTTGTTTTGGCTTGTGGGTTTTTTGACGCTTGGGAAAAAGTGCTTTCCTTTAAAAAAAAAAAAAAAGCAAAAACTGAAAAATGGTTGGCTGGCTAGGCTTTGTGACCGCAAATCAGTAAGTCATCAGTTAAAATTTTCACAAATTTATTTTCTCTTGGAGAACAAGAAAATATAGTACTGTCTGCATTATGACATTAGAGGACAATTTCTTCAGTGTGAGTGTAAACCTAATGCATTGGTATTTTATTTCACAGGTGATTTCTTTATCCCGCTTTCACAGTTAGCAAATCTTTGATGTGTGTTTTGCTCTACCAAATAATCACACTTGAATACGTGGAAATGTCACATTTAAAGGGATAGGTTTTACTATGTGTTTTTTAAAGTTCAATAAAGTGCAGGGGTGTGAAAGGAGGAAGTTTGTAATGCTGGGTGACCCTAGCAGAAGAGAAGCAAAAGATCTCAAATTCACTCTAATCTATTATACCTTAATCACTTCTGACAGATGTTTGCATAACCTCTTCTTAAAATCTTCCAGTGATTGATATTCCACAACCTCCATAGGTAGCCTGGTCAGTCAATTACTTTTAATTGAAAGGTTTTCAAATGTCTAACTTAAATCTTCCTTGTTTTTTCCTGTCTGCAGTAAACCTGGTGAACAGTCTAGTCCCATTCCCATACCAACTTCCTTTGCATTTGAAGAACGAGGCCAAGCCTTCCAT